AGTCCTATATAATCTTCTATGATATTAGAAATATGAAGTATAATACTATATTTGTTATATTAGTCCTACATAATGCTATATGATACTATATTATCTTGTTATTATCTATGATATTACAAATATGAAGTATGATAATATGTTATATATATATATATATATATATATATATATATATATATATTGGCATGACATCACTGTAATATTGGCATGTCATCATTGAAACTATAGAGGGGGACATGTGTGTCTACCTTGCCTAATGCATAACTTGAAAAATCAAACTGAGATCCCAATTTCCAACGACAGACGAATGAAACTATCTGCCTACCTTCACAAGTTGTTACTGTTGATTCGTCAACCCAGCCGTGGTAGTTCATCCAAACACCGGCCAAATGGCCAGGTTCAGGGTATAAGCACAGATACAGAAATCCCCTCATCTTCATCTGCAGCCTTGCATTAACCAAAGAAGGAAATGGATGAGATGAAAAAGGTTCCTCATTCCTCAGAGGCCGTGCCGTGCTACTGTCCAGTCGATGAAGTTGGAAATAAACCCTTCCTGGAGCACAGGGAATACAATATACAATGGCAATGATATTTACCAATGAATGAGGAGGTGGTCCATGCCCGGGGGGGGGGGGTTTAGTGCTGTGAAGCGCAGGTGGAAGGGGAGCGGGGGTAGATGGATAAGGTGGGATGGAGTGGGAGGTGAAGGAAGGTGTTCTTACAGGTGTCCAGTCTCAGGCACGTTGATGTTGACATCCTGGATGGTCTCCTTTTTCTTCTCTTCTCTCTCCTATTTCTTTGTCTCCTTGTCCTGCATCTTGCGCCTCATTTTGTCCATCTCCGTCTGCCGGTCTTGCATACGTCTCCTGAAGATGCCTCTTTTTTTTTTAAGTCGAGGCAGATGTTTTCAAGGACTGTTTTGTCGTCCTCTAATTGTTGGATCCTGGTGATAAGGATCTGATGTTCTTTGGAGATGGTATCCTCCATTTGTTGGATCTTAGAGATCAGGCACAACTGACCATCTCGTGGTGGGTCTCCTCTTGGCTCTTTTTTAAAGCAGCCAGAGAATCCCTCTGGGTCTTCAGCAGTTGGTGTTCTGCTTCCAACTGCTAGAAACAGTCTCATCCCAGGTCTCAGGTGTTGACCGTGAGTTCAGCACATTTGACAGAAAGTTCTTTTGTGGTCTTGGTGAGCTTCAGAGATAAACCCTCGTTCTCCCTGATAGTCTCATTCAGAGCCTCTGTCTTGATCTTTAGCAGTTTGTGTTCTGCTTCCAACTCTTGGTTGTTGGCCTGCTGCTTGTGCAGCTTCTCTTGAAGAGAAATGTTGGTGGAGAGTAACCCTGTTACTTTAGACTCCAATGACTATTGTTGGTCATCCAGTTCCTTGGTTGTCCTTTTCTCCAGATCTTCATATAGCTGCTGCCAGGTCTCGTTGTTGACCGTGAGTTCAGCATTTTTGACAACGAGTTGTTCGGTCTCTCTGACCTTCAGAGATAAACCATTGTTCTCTCTGATAAGGTCTGAAAACCTCTTTCTGTTCTTGTCAATCATCTGCTCATAGGCAAGATCTTTGCCTTTTAACATGTTAGTCAATTCGAACTTCACAGTTTCAGTGTGAGCGGTGAGTTCGCTCACTTGCCTTTTTAGGCAGTGCACTTCATTCTGTGCACGAGAAAGTGCAATGTTTACATTGTATCCGGTGGGTGGAGTCCCGAGAAGTCATGCGCCAGCTCCAATTCTCTGGTTGACAGCCCTGAAAAGGGGTGTAGTCTTAAAAAAAGACTGTTGGTCAGCCCTGAAAAGGGGTGTAGTCTTGAAAAAGACTGTTGGTCAGCCCTGAAAAGGGGTGTAGTCTTGAAAAAGACTCTTGGACAGCCCTGAAAAGGGGTGTAGTCTTGAAAAAGACTGTTGGACAGCCCTGAAAAGGGGTGTAGTCTTGAAAAAGACTGTTGGACAGCCCTGAAAAGGGGTGTAGTCTTGAAAAAGACTGGTGTTTTATTTGTCGCTAAATGACTCGATGTAACCTCTGAAAAATGGTGATGAATCTTCCAAAGAACTACTTAAGTCTGTAAAGGACAAATACCCATTTCTGAACGATGTTTTGGATGAAGAAGCACTGATATTGAGATGTGCTTTCAGACACGAAAGGATGTTTTGGACAGATCAGACCAGCATGAAGCCATCTCACCATCCCATACATGCTCCGTATGGCACAGCGCTTTTTTACAAGCGGCGTGTCTTTAAATGCCGAACCTGTAAATAAAGGCACTATTTGCCGTACTGTCAGATGTGTGTGTTTGGCACTGAAGTCCTTGGCACACAACTTTATTACCTTCCCGGGCCCCAGAAGAATGTGTCACATCAAAGAAGATTTCCACAAGACAGTCCACATATTCCGTGTAAATGGGTGATTGTGTTTGATGTTGTGAGATGCATGTAATGGTAAAATATGTTAAAACATTGTCTTGTGCTAAACCCGTGTCTCAAGTGTCCGTATTTGACCCTGACGTGCAAAGAGCAGCATGATACAAAATGTTAGTTTGCAGCTGTGTCCTGAGAAGGGCTCGATCTCGATCTCATAGACGCTTCGATACAAGGGACTTCTGTTCATGGCCTTGGTTCATATCTTATTTGCTTCTCGTACCTGGCACTGAGGATGGTCTTCATATGTGTATAAAAACTCAGCGTTTTTACCGCTCGGAGATGCCATTTACACCGAACGCTGAAATACGTGCTTGTGTGTTCGACCTCCTGCTTGCAAGCAATAGTTAGAGCCAGATATATCTGCGGAGAGTTGCTCATGTCATCTTTTTCTTTTCTAAATAAATGTTAACTTTTTTACTTTAATTGATCAACGTGTTGTGATCCTTCTCAACCAACCAACTCGGGGGGATCGGAGATCCCGACAATGTACTGGAGAATGTAGCACGTATGAAGAGGGCAGGTTCTGCAGGTGGAACACAGTCAGTAGCTGTCCCTTCCTGGACCCCTTCCATCACAGGCCTGCCTTTTCCTCAGCCGGGGTGAAGCCTGGTGCTGGTGCCCCCCGCCAGACAAATGAGCCCTCTTAACTGCTTAAATCAGTTTAGATCAAATGTTCTTGTAAGTTATTTCTACACCATTTGCAAACTGAGCACTTATCAACTGGCCAAATGTTTTTATATTTTATCTTGACCTGTTCCAGTCCTGTTTGTTCTGTACAAACCTTAATTGTAGAAAGATATTTAGAATTAGACACTGTTTATAGACACGCATCACTTTATTTAATACGCTGCTTGCAAGTCGCTGTGTGCCAGACTCTCAATCAAACATTTCGGACAAACCCACGGTCATGAAGATACTCATTTAACGTTACATGGACTCTGCGTGATGTCAGCCACTTCCGTGAGCGGCTACATATTACTAATACACTCGCTAAGCAGTCACTTTCTGGTTCGCAAGAAGTGATGAAGCGTCACTATGACCGTTCTGCGGTAACTCTAAAGCGGTTTTCAGAGTGGAAGTCCGTGAACGCATCAGTAACAGACTACATTCTCAATACTCCTGAGCGAAGGAGAAAAGCGCGCGTCTGTCTGTCAAAATTGCAAAAAAATTACGTTCGACTATTCGGTTAAAGAAACAAAAACATATATTCAAATATCTGGTTGCGCATTTGGCACGTCAATAACACATGGCTCTCAACTTTTCAAGAAACCTTGGAGTGGTATTTTGTCGGGGGTGGACGCTACAGACGAGAGGGGGGCGGACGATACGGTCAACGGTAAAACCTATTCAAAGGCAACATTTACAACTATGCCATCGGTTATTTTCAGGCAGACTCATCAGCAACAAAAGGATGTCATGCAACTACAAAAATGTTGATATAAACTGGATTTGATATGAAACGGATTTCCATTCCAAGCCGGAATGCACATAATCTATTTCATGTCAATTTTTCACTGCACTGCATTTGATGTCCTTACCATGCCTCACTTTCCAAATATTTCTATGTATGACAGTCTTCACCATGTTATGTTTTTATTTATAGTCATTATTATCCTTAAATGTAAAGGAGTTGTTCGTCGTCTATTTTTTTTGTAAAGTAAGACATCCCAGATTTGGAGAAAGTTGACTGCAGCGTGGCTCCGGGAATGCCAATGTGAGTCCATCAGCACTTGTCAATCCAAGGGTGTCAAATACGGATGCTGTGTCACGCCCGAGGCGTCTGCAGTGTCTGAATGATACGCAAGGGGCATTTGAGTTTCTGTCAACCCATCTGCATCATTATTAGCTGCTCATAGAAAAAGCCTGCAAGACATGGAGGGGGGAAGGCACGGGAGATGCAAAGACAGGACATCTAGAAGACAGGTTTTTGGGAACGTCGCTTGCATTGGAGATTTTTCGGAGATTTCTTTTTACACGCTTTTCCTACAAATGCCACATTGTTTTCCCCAAACTACTAGGTTTCATTTTTTTTCTGAAACTCCTAATATTAGTCACGTTGGGCTGACACAGCATCAGCTTGTGACGAGTTGGACTGACACGTTGGTTAAATCGGTTCACCACTACTGTCCCTGTCAGACTGAATCGTGTAATCTTTAAACCTTTCTTTTGACACCACCAAACATTTTTGATGTGTCCAATACATGTCACGGGGCAAAGGTTGCAAGAACATATTACGGTGAATTGATATATTTTCTTCAAAAACATATTTCCCCCCTTCATGTCCCTTCTGGAAAGAGGTGTCTGCAGACCTGTTTTTGCATTTTATTTGGCTGAGTAAGTAACAATTAAAAATGGTTTATGCTGAGTAACCATGTATGAGTTTCCTGTACATGTATCCCCACAAGACGCGTCCACACTTCAGTGTAACGTGCTCTCCCGTCATGTATTTTTTCTATGTGTAGCAGGTTGACTGGTCGCAGGTGGTTTCAATCACTTCACTCTCTCTGGACCAATCAGGAAGTAACTGCATGCTATACAGGCGGGGGGGGGGGTTGACATCTTGACCCCGTTACTCTTTGTTGCTGCAGGTACATGTCCGCTCCGGGTCCTCTCGCGTTCGCGGCGCAGTCACGGTTGTGCAACAGGTAATGTAGTGTGCTTAATGGTTTGTTACCTAAAGGCCTTGGTTGTGTTGGGATGGCCGTTACAGCGTGTATTGTCTTTTGCAGTGTCTCCCTGTTACAAACCCAATCTTTCCTTTAACGGAACCGGGTTGAGTGTTGCTGCTGGTAGGTTGGACAAATCTTTCTCCTCTTTGAATCTTTTAATGAATGAGTGGTGCAGTAATTGGCCGTTTTATTGTAGGCTCTGTGTAGCTGTACTATCGGCACTGCAGGTGTATTGGTGCGAAGCTCCCCGACGGGTATGCGTGTATACCAGTGGCGTCGCGTGCATGTTCTTAAATCATAAACGGTCATTGAATTTGGTTTCTTTGTATTGCTTCGCGTGCGCTGGTATCTGCACCAGCCCCTTCCCATATTTAGTAGGTCTGATATTTTAAATGGTATTTTATATTTGATGTTTTAGTAATTATATTAAATAAAATCATTAACGGAACTACGTCTCTGGCTTCATGCATAAATCGGCCCTGTGTACTTTCTGTATTTTGGTGACTTAACTATAGTAAAATCCTATTCTCGGGGTGAAATTCCCCGGGTGGCGTTGCCGGTGTCATCAGTGTTGAGCGGGCCAAAAAGGCGCTCCACACCAAAAGAGTTCCTCTCGCCACATATGTTTCACCCCTTTTTCCACAATGTCCGTTGACTCCTTTTACAGCCAGTAAAACCTGCAGGTTTCCAAACGCTCTTCCATCTGGACAGACCCCCCCCCCCCCCCCTCCTTACTGCCCCACGGGCCACTTCGGAGAGAGAGATATAAGAGATATGGCATGTCAGTTCGTCAGGCAAAGAACCAAGGTTGTGGCTTCTATCACCAAGAAAGCAAAACAAACTAGAGGCCTTGGTGGGTGTCTGGTGCGGAAAAAAGGGCAGAACCAGCAGAATAATGTCGAGTGGACTAAATGGGGGGAAAAAAGGCTTTTCACAGAGCTGTCTGTCATTCCAAAGAACTATATTCCCCTCAAAAAGCAGTGAAATGGTTAAATATGTCTGAAACAAAGCTTTATCTCGGGCCTTTAACTGATGTAATTTCCACTCAGAGCAGGGTGGCTGTTCTATGCCATTGTATTTGACATGAGACAGCAGAATAGATAGGCCTCTTCGGAACTGTGTTCCTTCGCTTAGCAAATATATTTTTGAAAAACTATTACACATCCCATATTGAATTGTGAGTGCTCTAACATCTTTATTCCAGGCAGTGCACCGCAGAAAAACATGAACAAAGCAGTAAGGACATTCCTGTTCTGCTCCAAGTGCTTTAGTTTCCTGCCTTAACGGAGAAGATCGAAATATTTGGACGTTAATTATATTTATCTTGCAGTTGTATTGGAAATTCAAGCACCATTGACATTCGTGATTACGCTCAACTTTAAAGCCAGTAAAATGAAAAAATCCCCTTTTTTCCCCTGTGGACTGTTCAGTTAACTCTTTTGCGATGCCTAATATGCGGTAACTTTCTTTATTTCAAATGAGAATCTCAAGCCGTCTCTTTCCTGTGAAACCCTTTCAAATGTGTGAAGAATCATCTTGCACCAAGTGGCGTTTACAAAATGAACCCAATCGAATGAGAATTTTGGCAAAGAGCAAGCCACAGCGGTCCTATCAAATCTCACATAAATACCAACTCCTTACATGGCGCTGTCACATAGCGTGTTCAAATCATGTGTTGACGGTACAGAAACAATTTAATGTGAAACATTAATATCCTGTCCATCCCTTTCCTCCTCCACAGTTTATGTATGTGACACATTAGGAAGGGTGAGTGATTGGATATGAGTGGGCAAGAACTGCTGTAACCGCACCCCCCACCCCCAAAATATTACATTTCACAGGGAATCACGTTACAGTACAGAAGACGCTCTTGTCAGTGGAACTTTAAATGCATTAAGGAGTAATGTCTCTGAGCTGAGCCTAAACCCCTATATTAAAGACCTTTAACATTTGACTCAACACTATAAGCTGCCAAATTTCATATTTTGTAATGTGTGGTCAGATTATGAGGCTGGAGTTGTGGAGACAAAATGGGGTGGACAAAAGAATAGAGATTCACAAAAACAATTCAATGGTTATTATGGCTAATGTGGTCCCCTGCTGTACAACCTGGTATCAATACCGTATCCAAAGCATCCAGTGGGGGGATGAGGGTCAACCTTTTCAGTGTCAATTGGCCTCAAAATAATCCAAGTTCACGTTGTATTCTGAAGTTCATATCTCACATTTCAGTAATTTATTGTTGGGTACTGTTTTTCCCTGGACACTAAGTTTTCTAGGATTTTATAAATCTGGAGGCAGGTTCCTGCCACCTACCTCATGGCGGACTGTTAGCAGAATGAGTCACCCTGAAGAGAGCTTTGAATCATCCCTGCACAAGGTTTGAGCTGAGCAATGTTATCGTGGGCCTCTCCAAGGCTTTTTGTGTGTTGCACTTCAAGTCGGCCCATGCCTACTTTAGTGTTCAACATGTACATTTTCATGATGCACCAACTGTACATCTCTCCCACTTTAATATACACTGTAAAACCTGGGGTTGGCGTTGAGTAGACTTGAATCATATTTTATGAGTAAAGTTTAATATGCAGGAAGATGACTTTTACTCATTTAGAGTACGTTGTTTTCAATTGAGGGACACTTCCGTCCCACGCATTTTGAACCACGTGGACATCCGCTGCACAAGGGATGCTGTTCTCCTGAAGGTTACACCTGTGCAATTATTGTTAGTGAACAATAGCTAGCTAGCTTGGTTAGCTTTAGCTAAGAAGCAGCAGCACACAGAGACAATGAAATAAACTAACCCGGCGTTATATTAATCTATAGTGTGTCAATGTGTTTTGTGCACGCTGTGGCCGGTGTCTTGCTGACTATCACAAGTTCACGGGCGTTAGTAACGTAACGTTAATGTGACGCACACAAAATGTATGGTCACATTTGTATTTAATTTGGATTAATTTGGAATGAAGAACATGTCTTCATTGTGTGTGGCGCTACCTATGGCCAGTAGGTGGCAGTGCAGCGCTGTGGTTTCGCTCCGCCGCCCTCTGTATTTGCGCGTATAGCGTCTCATTGCTTGAGAAGACGCTGACAGAAGAAGCCACACGTCTGCCTGTGTCATTCATTTCTATTTTTATCAGGTCAGTAACCGGTCAAGTGCATTAAGCAAATTTGAATAAACAATTAGATGATCGGATTTAACTACCTAATATTTTTAGGGATTCCTGGGTTTTGTTTAGTAGCTAATGTTACGTTGCTGAGAAAGGCCGACTGCTGAGCGCTAGCTAGAATGCTAGTAGCCCTGTGTAACCTTGTTTTATCTGGCTCCTATACACTAATCTAATTATTAGTGACAGAAGAAGCCACACGTCTGCCTGTGTCATTAATTTCTATTTTTCTCAGGTCGTATCAGGCACAAGTCTGCCACCAGGCTCTCTCATCCTGAGACCTGTAACATTAACGTAACGTTAGTCACGCAGTCCCCGCGTTCCCGGTGCTGAGAGGCAGCACGAGACTCACGCCGCCATCTTTCTGTGTTCTCTATCGCAGTGACGTCGTGGTTTCGATGGTCTCCTCTCGGCCTGACGTCACGCCGCGCTGCCTGTGAACGCTGGTTTCAGGTCAGTCATTAAGGGCGACTGTAATATGCATGTTATAACCAGACGCGCTTTGGTCACGTGAGTTTACTCGCGGGCTATTTTAGGTTATTTGGCTCTACTCTGCTCTTTACGTGATGTAACTAACGTCGGGACGTAGGCGGCACGTGTGGCGAATTGTTTGTTTCACTCGTTATTTGCATCAGTGCATTGACTTGTTTGTAAACTACTCTGTGTGAACACAGCATTAAGAACCATATGTAATATGTGCTGCTCTAAAGCTGGTTTCACTATTTGTCTTGCAGATCCAGGATGAGTTTCCCAGAATCTCAACGTGCAGCTTGAATCAAAGTTCATGTCCGAGCAGGAGGAACCCACTCTCAATCTTCTCAACCTCTTCCACTCAAAGTGCAGCCATGGAGCTGAGGCTGAAGGCTAAACGCATCCCACTCAAGGTTCCATTCATTATTATGTTTGCAAATGTTTTACTATATAATTAAAAAAAAATGGAATATCACTGCCAGAGGCAATATTTACGTTGGATTTACTCTCCAAAGAAAGTGTCATCTAACTGCATGCATTTTAGTTTCCATAAAAAGGTAACACTTTTTCAGGTACATCATTATTCAAATTTAGAATGTTACAATCACGTTTTACTGTGAATTACCTCATTACCTAATTAACGTGGTATGTCTTAATAGTACGAAAATCAAGTTGTAAAATGTTGTGGTTTTGTGGGAGTTTATGAAGACTTCCTGGAGTCACAGCTGGATTTGTGGAATTTAGGATTGGAGTGGATTATTTTAACTCATAATGTTTTGGTTTTTTTTTCATTTCAGACATTGGTCAAATCACAACATACAATCATAACGTTAATTCTACTAGTTGGGTTTTACAGTTTCATTGATAATAATTGAGATTAATTTAAATAGATTTTTTTTAATGCCATTTCAATCTTATTACACCAGCTGTCTGAATTCAGAGCCATTGACAAAGCAGACAACAGTCCTTTTAACATAGTTGCATTGGATTGGATGACTTGGAGCTCCAGGAATGAGTTTATACTATCACATAGAGTCAATCATTTGACATATGACCAGCCTGTTAGTGAATGTAGAAGTAATTTGGTGGATGTTCAATTGGGACCTAATCTTTTGGATGTACAGAGCGTAATACTCAATCTTCTTGCTATTTCAGGATGCTGGTGAAGACGCTGTTTCACGGGACCTTATAATACAAAACATGAAAATCTACAGGAACAAGACGAACACGTCGGAGAGTCCAGACGTCTGTATCGTGTTGGATGGACCAAAAGTTCTGACTGCACTGAGGGACTTTGCAAGGGCTTGCTGTCTGCTGGTTGGGTTTGCGTATGCAGTCAATCTTGCACACTCAAAGAAACTTAAACACATTTAAGGTTGTCCAAGTTTTCTTGGGCCGTTTCTCAATACCTAAGACGGCGAGAACGGACTCGCGTTCCCGCGAGAATAGACTCGGGAGTCCTGACTCACGGGTACGGGAGAATGGACATTTCCGCAATTGGAACAGCAGCTGACTTGATGACGTCACCACAGTAGGCGGTCTTTGTTTACGCACGCAAGTATCTCATCTGCCATCGCAGCTTGCTGAGGTGAAATGCATTCTGGGACATATGTCTCTCACAAGAACAGACGAGCCTGCTTCGATGCATGCCCGGTAAAATGGGCGGGGCAAGTCACATCGGGGTATTATGACTCTCGGCCAGATGCAGACTTGAGAATTGGAACAGTACTCGGGCTGTGACTGATGACGTTTCACGAGTCCACGAGAACAGAAGTCCACACAAGAACGCATATTGAGAAACGGCCTTGGAGCTGGACTGTTCAAACCTTTGACCCTTGGAGAAAAAAAGGGAATTGTTGTTACTGTTTGTTCAATGCATGTTAATTATATTTAAGATTCACATTGAGAAGTTTAGGTTTGGCTCTTTCAGTTTTTTTCAGTTTTAGTGTTGCTATCTAGTGTTAATGCTGCTTTATTTGTGTTGTTCAAATGTAAATAAACCATGCTCATTTAATGCAGCTTTTCCTGTATGTATTTATAGAAATTTGCACAAATAAAGCTTAACCTGCTGTATGATGATGTGTTTGTTAAGTTTACTGTTACAAATGCATGAATTGTGAATTAGACATAGAAAAATTGTGGCAACAATTAACTAAAATGTGAGTTGAAATAACTTATTTAATTTTACCAAGATTAGTAGTATATAACACTCAATTTCACTCAAATATTCAGCAAGTATAAATTAATTTCTCTCAAATACTCAGTAAATATAAGTCAATTTCACCAAAATATCCAGTCATTATAAATTACTTTTGATAAGCAAACATCAATTTTCCTTGTGAAATTTATTTGGATTTTATAAATATCCATCCATCCATCCATTGTCAAACCGCTTATCCTGCACACAGGGTCGCGGGGGGGCTGGAGTCCATCCCAGCCAACTTCGGGCGATAGACAGGGTACATCCTGGATTGGTCGCCAGCCAATCGCAGGACTACACAGAGACATACAACCATTCACACTCACATTCACACATCTATGGGCAATTTAGAGTCACCAATTAACCTGATCCCCAGAGCATGTCTTTGGACTGTGGGAGGAAGCCGGAGAACCCGGAGAGAACCCACGCAGACACGGGGAGAACATGCAGACTCCACACAGAAAGGCCACTGGGCGGAATCGAACCCAGGACCTTCTTGCTGTGAGGCGACAGTGCTAACCACCACGCCACCGTGCCGCCCTGATTTTATAAATATCTCGGATTTAATTAATTTTTTAAATACATTTTACTCAAGGTTTTAGCAATTGAAATCTACTCAATTATATTATTTGTCACTTTTTTTGAGTAACCATTGGTCCCATTTTTTAGAATCCACTTAACTCCTGCAATCTTTATTATTATGCATCAAATCACCTCCTAAGGGCAAACTTTTCCATGAAAGGGTTTCTGATTTAGCATTTCTACCTAGATTTAAGTCCAGTACACATTTGTGAACTAACATTAATGTTGTGAATAGCAGATTAGCGAAGCAGCAGGAAGTGGGAGGGGCATTGCTTGATTGCAGCATGTACAGCGGGATTAAGTGAAGATGTGAGTCAATCCATTTACTAGGTACCAGTAATTCGTTATAACATCACCTAATCGGATCAGATTGCTGGATGCTTGCAGCAAGGGCTGTTTCAATGTAAGACAATTTTGTTTTCGTAAAAAATTTGGCACAAAGTCAAAACATTTTCGCTGAATGAAGCGTTGTGTTCACACACACACCTCACGCTGAAATTGTTATTGTGAAGCCTAACCCTCAGCCATGATAATGAAGATGGTACATTGTGACAGCAATAAACGTCCAAGAATGGAACAGAATGCACAGTAAGGGACTAAATATTTCACCGCACATCCCCCACCTAGCCTTGAGAGAAATGTGGACGTTGCCTCATTGAGCACCTGACATGTGCTCACCTTCGCTGGATTGAATGAGAATATGCCTCGGTGTATGATATACATACTGTCACTTTAGAGAGGTATGGCCTTGCAAGTAAGCGTGTGTTAAGAGGACTGAGCTGGGCAAGTCATTTGATCAACGTCGGCTTTGGGGCTTACTCAGTCCATTGAAGCCGCTGCTCCGTGCTCCTGTGTGACTCAAGAGATTAGGCAGGCGTGCACACACTGAACATTGCACCTACTGAAAAAGAGCCCTCTGTTCGGCCTGGCACATGCATGCCTCTCAAAAGACTCCCTGCTCGAGCCCACGGTGTTAAATGTTATTCAGTCGAGATGAGACATAACGTATTTGGTTGTCCTTTGTTGCCATTGTCAACTCCTTGTCCCTGGCAATCTCTCTCTGACTCTGCAGCGCGTTTCACAGTGGCGAGCCCGTGGTTGTCAATAGGCTGTCGCTCAGCCTCACACCCTCTCTTTAAAGCAACGGCTTAGAAATGGAACCTGTATATTTGCATTCCAATTAGCATAAATGGAAGAAAGTGGAACAAGTAGCTTTGAAAGTCATCCAGCGAAGCGCTTATTCAACCAGCGGTGGAAAAAGGAGAATAAAAAGCCAGCATGTGTACGAGAGAATAGGAGCGAGGGCACGAGAGCGAGAGGGGGGAGAGAGAGAGAGAGAGAAAGAAAAGAGTTTTGTATTATGATAGTGGGCTCGGGCTACATGGTTTGAGTCACTGGTGTATGTCTTTTATGAGCTTACGACTTCACACTGCGTGGAAAATCTGCCCTGCTGTCGGAGCTCTTAGGCATTCGGAATGTCAATTTTAATCACGTTCCCCTCTGAGATGTGATCCCGCTGATCAAAGACGCTCCGACTTCTAAGTTAACAAGTCAACAAAGATGGGGCTCTTGCGTGTTTTGGCGCCGCGCTCATGCCATGAAATGCCGGATGCTCGGGAAGCTGGTTTTTGTTTGTTTTTTGGGGTGAGGGCCGACGCTCGGTGCTGCGTGGGTGCTTAAGGGGGTCTTTGGATGGCTGAGTGTGTGTGAAGGGGATCTGTGCTCTATGCTGCAACGTAGGTGGTGTAGTTCAAAAAGGTCTCTGCTCTTCAGGGAACCATCCAGGTGGGCTGGAGTTTGATTTGTTGTCTTTTTTATCGGCATCTCTCTCCTTTTGTCGACGACTCATTTGACCAAGATGCTAGTAGTATAGTGTTCCAATTTTAGTTGTCAGTGCACATCAATCTGTATCAGTGAAACCTTTCACTTAGCTGCACGGCCATAACCAAAGGACACCAGGGTGGGTTCCAGGTTCATTGCTGCTGGGCCGGTGGGCTGACGTAGCTGCCCATACCGCAGAGGCTTGAATAAAACCTTGTTGCATACCAAGCCAAAATATGTAAGTGTTAGTTTTGCTCGCCTACACAGTCGGGAAATCTGATCGAGTCTCACAACTAATTATTATATGTTGCTAAATTGCTTTTAAAGTCAAGAGAAGTTCACTAAATGCAGCAATGAAGGTGCAGCACCCATCAAGTCAGCTACAGCACCGGTACGTAGCACTCCGCCTCTTCTGAGCCAGGAGACAGGGAGTTAGCAATTAATATTCCTCTGATCAGTATAAACTCATAGAACAAAATAGAATGTAGCTGTAACGTCTCACTTTCTCATGACCATCTTGCAGAACAAATGTGTTTTTACTGCCAAGAACATATAGATGTCCTGAACCTTCACTAGTGTTGTTGGCACACCATTGACCCGCACACAGACGTCCGATGCACCACCAAAAATATCCTGGCAGACATTTCAGGAATCAGGAAACATTTATTGCCAAAATATGTCATACATACAAGGAATTCGACTTGGCGGTTGGTACGTGACAGTAAACAGTGTAACAATAGACAACAAGACAGCAGTGCACAAGTAATAAAGTAAAATAAAATGAAATGCTAAAGCTATGGGTTAGTAGAATAGAGCTATAGGTTAGTATCAAATAAGAGAATAAAGTTAAAGTTAAAAATATTTAAAAAGTTAAAGTGCACTAGCGAACAAGTGATGAGTGACGACAAATTGACGAGTGAGAAATGAAAGTTAAAGTGACATGTGCAGTATGAAAGAGTGACCGGTGGAATGTCAGAGTCAGTCAGTGGGGGACTGGGCTCTGTTGATGAGCCCGACTGCCGACGGGAAGAAACTGTTTGTGTGGCGGGAGGTTTTAGTCCTGATGGACCTCAGCCTCCTGCCAGGTGGAAGGGGCACAAACAGGTTTTGTCCGGGGTGAGAGGGGTCGGCTACCATCTTTTTGGCTCGCTTCAGAGACCTGGAAGCGAACAAGTCCTGCAGGGACGGCATATTGCAGCCGATCACCCTCTCTGCAGAGCGGATGACCCGCTGCAGCCTGCCCTTGTCCTTGGCTGTGGCTGCAGCGTACCAGACGGTGATGGAGGAGCAGAGGATGGACTCCATGATGGCCGTGTAGAAGTGGACCATCATCGTCTTTGGCAGGTTGAATTTCTTCAGCTGCCTCAAGAAGAACAACCTCTGCTGAGCCTTCTTTGTAATGGAGCTGATGTTCAGCTCCCACTTGAGGTCCTGGGTGATGGAAGTTCAAATAAAGAGAGAAATGTGTTTGAAAGCAGTCTTTCTGCTGCTAGGGTGCATATATTACAAAATCCATCGTAAAATCCGTGCTTCCAAATTGGAAACACAAACAGCAGGACAATTGCTCCGAATTGGAACTGTCGATCCATTCGCTGTGAGTTCAAAGAAGGAACTCTGTGGAATATCGGGCTGAATGTCTCGCTGGATGGCACAATCAAACATTTCAAGAGTTTTTTGTCAGATTGCATCTAACATCCAATTGTCTCCATGTGAAAGCCATTCTCTGGAATTGCTGCTCTCCAACATGAACAGCCAAAGGAAGATGTTGCAATGACTGTGACTTCTGAGTGGCAGCCCCTCTCAGCTCAGGAA